CTCGCGGCTTGAGCCAAAATGGCTTCCTCTCTGTCCCTCTCTCTGCCGCTGCATCCTGACGGTAGCATGTACGCGAGTGTTCCCCGCCTCAGCCAAGTAAGTAGCTTGGAGCCTCTGTGACTCCTGGGTTCGCGCGTCGCCACGGCAAGGGGGAAACACGAGGAGTTCAACACATGCGCCTTGCATGACGTGCGGTCCTCAGCTACTCGTTCGAACGCCCGTCGTGTCTCTCGCTCAGCGTCCATCTGATTGGCGAGGCATCTTACTGTAGGTAATGCAGGTAGTTGGCTTTCCAGAATTATCTCCAAACACATTCCTGCTAAATCAGGGGACTTGAACCTGGAAGCCTACATTCAGGTCAGTTGACCTTGGACACCTGTGCCTCCTTTGAGGCGGCTTGGAGCTCGGCGGTGAGCCCGACGACCTTCGGCCAAGCAAAGCGTCCCAGTCTCTAGGATCCTGAACATCTTGTACAGCTACACAAGGGAACACGACTCTCATCATCCATCGTGGCGCAAGGGGGGGCGAGCAAATACAAACTGAGAAGTGTCATGCTGCAGAAACGCCGTCAAGTTGCCAAAGCTGCGAGCTCCTCCCTTTCGGTCTGCACTGTTGAGACCTCCGTCTGGGCACGCTGCCGCTCCACAGTTGCTTTGGCAGCCGCCTCCTCCTCCTGAATGATGGAGCCCGCGAAGCAAGATGTGTTGTCTAAAGATTTTGGGAAACAAACGACTGCTACCGTTGATTGTGGTATAGAGCCCGTCAGATTCACGTCGGCCTCGGCCGAAGCGGTCAAAGGTTCACTCTTTCCTCTCCTCTTATTCCCCCCCTTAAATTGCCCCCCCCCCCCCTCCCTTAGGTTGAATTTTGGCAAGATCAGAAAAAGCAGAAAAACCAAGAGATTGGGATCACCAGATCCCCCTCCCCCTCCCCCAGCTACATCTGTCGTCTTGTGCAGGTCTGCTGATTGGCCCCTGATGTGGAGACTGCTCTTCACCTGCGACCTGGCCGAGGCCGGCGATGCGAAGTGTGTAAAAACCAAACGTCGGAACCGGAACGTGACGCCGCGATGCCTGATCTACATCCCAAAATCAAATGTTGACTTCAATCTTTTCCGGGTTGTCTCCCTCCTGGCTTGCCCGTTGCTGGGACAAGCGCTGCTGGTGCTCCGCATAGTGGAAGTGTTCCTCCAAGCTTGTGCGTTGCCGCAGGAGCTCGTCCACATTGCTGCGTTGCTCCAATTGCTGCTTTGCCAGTTTTGACTCTGCAGCTTGGCACTCTGACAAAGCCTCATCTCTTCGGCTTGCTGCAGATTGAACCAGATGCGCGGCAGTGCTTACTTCGGCAGAAAGCTCTTGCTGCAAGCCTGCACATCAAAATGCATCCTCACGTTCAAGCAACTTGAAACCGCACTCCCGCCGTGCTGCATCAGAAACTGACACTTGAGGCAAGTGGCAACTGTTCATAGTTCTCGCCTCCAGCTTAACGGCATTGGCCTCGTTGGCCGACATGACTATCTCGGCTTGTAGCCGTCCGACGTCCTGCTCCAACTGAAAGCGCTCAGTCTCGAAGCCCGCTCGAGCCACTGCTAACTCTTCTGAGATGGCAAGGCATCGATCGGAAATTGCTTGGTGTCGCATTTGGGCATCTCGTTGGGCATTGACCTCCGACTGTCGCCATGCAACCTGTGCGCTGGTGAAGCGCTGCTCCTCAGGGCACTCGAACAACGCTGCCACAAGCCATGCATTTTTACACCCTAAATCTTTTTCGGACAGCGTAAAGAACTCCTGGTAGGAGATCTGTGACTCGAGCTCCAAGCGCTGCTGCCTCCACTCTTGGGCCCTCTGGTCCAAGACTTCTGCAAACTCACTCTGGAACAAGCGCTCTTGCTTCTGCCGGCACTCCTCCAGGATCTCAGCCTCAAGTTGTGCAAGCCTCTCTGCTTGCTGTCGGCCTCAGTCGACGTGGCAAATTGGGCGGGGGGAGCGAGTTGCGAAACAGTTCGCCAAGCTGCACACTGCGACCGCGCTCCAGGGAGTTTCCCCATTGATCAGTGCATATGCATTTGCTTTGTCAGGCGGTGGTGCTGGCGCATATATTGGCAAGGCCAGTGCAACAGTCGGGCTCTGCATCAGATCTTCGTGGCTTTTTCCAACCTCTGAGAAGCATCATGACCATGGATCGGCAGCTGGTGTCGAAACACTTCTGGTTTCTAGATAAAGCTTGAGCTGGAATCCATGCATCTGAAGCCGGGAAACCCTTGCCAAACCAAACCTTGGAGACATCTTGTCTTGAACTGAGCAGCGTCAGGAGGCATCTGGCCACTGGACTCGTCGTCCGCACCGGCCGCCAGCGATTCAGCTTCGGTCAGATCTGACGGCTCTGCTGTCGGTTGCTGTGCAGGCAAAGCCTCTTCCTTAGCTGTGTTTAGGCGCTCCCGGCATTGGATCGTCTGCACAGGTGTACTAGTTAAACAAATGATCCTGAAGCCTGAAGTTCAATCAACCTCGCAGTCTGAATCGTGCTGCTGTGGGTTCCGTGGTCACGGCCTCTGCGTGTAGCGTTGGCTCAGTTTCCAGTGCTTGCGGATGAAAAGAATCGGGTTGTCGGACTCGCCTCTCCCCAGTGTCCCTGAGACAAGCATCACTGTCAGCTGATGCCCACTAAAGGCCGCATCAACTAGCCGACCAACCACTTGCAGATCGCAGAACCGCAGGACATCCGAGGCATCATAGGCACACAGGAGGGCAACGCCTAGGGCCTAGCTGGGCCTAGCTGACTTGCGCAGCGGGCTGTGCCCAAAATTAGGACTCCTGGACCGATGCCCCAGGCTGACGAATCTATTCCATATCCAAAGCCCAAGCCTCTGCCGGCGAGCTGGTCTCTAACAACGGGCGTTTCTACGTTGTAAATGATGACAAGGGCTTGCAAAAAACCCATAATGCACGCAATGAGCCTCTCAGGCAGGGCGTAGCCACATCGATGCAGGGGCGCTACGTCTGCACGACGGCGTGTCACTGCCATCAGCTGGACAAAAGCTTCTCTCAGGACGCAGGCTCGGGTGTGGAACTCTGGCGTTCTTCCATGGCATATCTTGCCCAATGTTGAAACTTGGCTCCAAACTGCGAGCCTGAATCTTTCATGGAACCGAAAGCGGCAACGCTGCAAGTTCGACATACAAGTAAGTGAGCACGTGATTGTCGAATCGAGCCAGGTCAAGACGTGCGAGCGCTCCCTGCCGCCACCAACAAGCCATGAGTGCTCAAAGCGACAATTTGTGCGTCGAGAGGTGTATATATATTTGAAATATATATATATATATATATGCCGAACCTGACCAGCTTCGCAGTTGGTCGTCGCACTTGATCCCCTCCATGTTTGAACCTGGATTCCACTTGGACGGCAGGGCCAGTGTCTTTCTGTCTCTGTTGCATGCGGCTCCGTATGCGCTGGCATCTGCATGTGCATCGTGTGTTTCTGAGAGCCGCGCAGTCAACCTGCAGCAGCGCACGAGCGAAGCAAATCCGAGGACAGAGCGAACTATTTCCATCGACACGCTCACACGCAATTCGCCAATGCCAATGCATCGTGCACGTTCGTGCACACCATCGGACGGCTGTCCTCGTCCCAGACACCGTGCATGAACAGGCTGCCGACTTCCACGCTGTACTCTTCGCACTGGACCTTACCCAACACTGAACCATCATAAACAACAATCACGCTGCAGAATGCTACTGTAAAGGAGATTTTACTACAGAGATGCCCTTTGGGCTCTCGTGCTATGGCAAGCTTCTCTGAGAGCTCGGCTGCTGTGCAAACCGGGTCGCGACCATGCAAGATGCCCACGCCATCGCAGACGAAGGTTTGCTCTCGGCATCAGGCACAGACACACGCAACTCTCCAGGCACTTGCAACTCCGTCGGTCATGAGACCCGCCCTCACTGCACAACATCATGCCCGCGTCAAGGCAGGTCGAAGGCCCAGGCGACAGACAGGACTTGGTGATACTTGGTGCCAGGCGTGCACCACTCCAACCACCACGGCATTGGGCTGTACAGCTCTGTCCTGGGCCCAGTGTCGTGGCCACGTAAGACTGAGGAATACGTCTGGTGCTGAAAGGGCGGTGGTGGGCCGCCTGCTCCTGGTGAAGGTCTGGGTAGTCGGCCAGGGCCACTGTCAGTTTTTCAGAAAACCGCCATGAAGCGGTGGACTCATGGCTGCGCTGTTTCGTGGAGTCTTCGCAGGTTGGCAACGCGACAGAGGACATGAGGGTAAGCCAGGTAGGGCGGGAGGGCGGGAGGGAGAGATATAGAGAGAGCACAACAGGGAAAGGGAAGAGACAGGAAGACGGATGTTGGAAGCAGGTAAAGCCAAGCTCGTCGCCTGTCTTCCGCCCAGTGCAGTCATGGACCTAACGAGATTCAGGCAGCAACTGCAGCTTGTGCTGGATCGCTGTTGTCGGAAATGTTAAGGGCTAGCACGAGGTATATTGTCGTCTGCAGTGCATGCAGATCCCTTGCAGGCAGTGTGCGACTTGAAAAACATGGCCCAAATTCCTGAAGAAAAACACACAAACGCATCCTTCAGGGGCCGGGGGGTAAAGGGGAGTTTTTGGGATTACGAGGTCATGCACCCCACTTAGACCTCCCTCAATGCGCTTAGCCTGCCCACTGCATCTTCCTCAACTCAGACGTGCACTTTGTGATCTTAATGATGCATGTTTGATGGAGTCGTAGGCATCAAGCACCAAGCTCACCAAGGTCCTCACCACTGCAAGGCCCACAGGCAAGCCTTGCGTACACACCACTGCATCGAAGAAGCTTGCCTGGCGTTAGTTTCCGGCAGGCCTACCGATTTGTTCAACCAGGGTCGGCCAACCCTGTTTGCATGAGTTCATGATCTTGATTTGGCACGCATTTTTGAGGTCTACGGTAGCGAAAGCCACGCCGGCGAGGCAGGTATGGGTCTGTGGACGATGCCGCTGGGCAGTCGCACCTAGAACAATAAAAACAGATGCAGCAGGTCCAGGTGAACTTTGGTGGCTGAAACATCAGGCAGCAGGGCTAAGATGCTACTGAATGATCGTGCCGAAACCCACTGCTCTATTAACTCTAGCAGTGACATGACTCCGGCGTGCGGAGGTCTAGGAAGCGCGGAAAGCTTCGCGTGAAACGGCTTCGCCAGTTTTAGATTTCATAGCATCGCCGCGTGAATGACTGCGAACATGACACTCCTGCAATCAAGTGGTCGGACTGGACACGCTCCTTGTGCAACACCTGGCGCCATCAAGAAAATCTAAGCACAGTCTCTAGCACCGCCATCAATCCACTGGACTCGGAGGCATGCGCAACTGGCTGCAAGACAACTGAAAACAACCCGCATGGTAGCCAACTCAACATCTAGTACTGCTAATCTCTGCTCCAACTAGCAGGATTCCAGCAGGCCGCCTCCAAATAGTATAGGTGTCCAGCCTGGTGTGTTGGCACATTTGACCACGGAAGTTTTCCCTTTGGGCTGGTTGCCACCCCTGCAGCAGCGACTTTTGCCGGAACAATGGCTCGGTCCCTATCACAAACGATCTGGTTGCTGGTCCCCGGTCGTACTGACATGTTCGAGTGGCCGTGGCTCTCCACGAGATCAGTGCAGCTCTCAGGTACGGCCTCCATGTAGTAGCTTCCTGACCTCAGAAACTTCGCAAACCACCCCAACGTTGGCCATCCGTCGCATCCAGCACCCGGTCGTCACCGAACCACTTCTGAAAGTGCTCCCAGCAAGTCGGTGCAGGAAAGTCCTAAGGATGGAGTTTTTTGTTCGGCCGTTTTTTGAGGGCACCGTATTTTATGGGATTCTGTGCAGGGGTAGGAGATTCAACATAAGGGAACCTTTTGCAGGAGTCCCTACGGAAGCCGATCTTTGCGAAACCCTTCCGAACCTGTTAAGGAGACGCTTCAGTGAAAACCTCCTATGTGGACCATGTAGGTATTGGTAATGCAGGTATGGTATGTATGGTGTGGGGTTCGATTTGTGAACAGTATGTATAGCAAGTAAAGCACATGTTTATATGTATATATTTATACATGTTACATTATGTTTACTATATTGACTGTCGCATCTATACAGTATGATCAAAACAATAATAATACATTAGGCTTTCTTTCGCCAGAGCTATGGTGGAGGGTTGTTGGCCCCCACCGCGCGCTTGTGCGCCCCCGACGGTCGCAGTTGCCAAGAGTTTCTGCCGCGCAGCTGTTTTCCGTTGATTATGCACTATAAAACTGATTCGTGGAAAGCCAGGTTCTGCACGAACCTCTTCGACAGTTGGGGTACAAGCAGCTCCATCATAGATTTCCGTGCAACTTTTCTCGCATCTCAGATGATGGAACGGACATGCATGGAACGGCACAGCTGTGTAGAGTTGCTCCGTCCTGCCACCATCAGGTGGTGCTTGCATGGCCCGTGGCATTCGCGATTAGTGTGTGCAAGCTTGCTCTGCTGACGAAAACTGGCTGACGAGATCATGTGGGCATTGCATCGGACGTAAATCCTGATGATGCAGGCCTCCAGACTGCGAGGGCTAAAGAGAGTCCGTGCCGTCAATGTCAACTTCCGTCTGAACTCCAATTTCCCGTCAGCTCAAGGAAAGCAGCCTGAGATAGCCTGAGGTACTGGCTTGTGTGGCAGGCAGATAAACGTGTTCCCCCCAGCCCCTCCATCTCAAACCCCTCCCCCATCGAAGCACATTCAACACATCGTGCTTGTGTGTTTGGAAAGGACACCGGGTCGCCAGCTGGGTTGGAAAGCTGTCCCACGCATCCGGACCTGCCAAGCGGCAGTGCACTTTGGACTTGTTTGGGACTGTCAGTTTCGAGGAGGTTCAAGGCTTCAATTTCCTTACATCTTCCACTGATCGGCATTCTGCTTCACCTTGTCGTCCGGCTGCGCCGGCACGGCAGTGCACTTCTATTGCAAGCTTCTTTACAAGGTGCTTGCCTAACCCGCACAAGCCTCGTTTGGGTTCGAAAGCCGCGTGAAAAATGAAACCTGAACTCGCAATTTCAGGACCCCTCACTTTCCAAACGAAGAGCACGCACCTGGAGCATATCCTCGACGGAGAAAAGGGCCTTTCACAGAGAAGCCCGCTTGGAAAGGGCGACAAATCCTCCCGATCCTACTCGACATGTCGTGCACCCCAACTTATTGTTTACCCCCATCCTGCATGACGTGCATGGACATTTTGCCCAAGCGTCAACTTTGTCTAGGGTAAGGTGGCAGCATGCGGAAGGTTTCCTGCCACGAGTGACCGTTAGTCTTTGCGCAAGATTTGGCCCAAACCTGTCTGAAATGCATTTACGGCCCAAAGAAGCACGATTGTCCCGGTATGCCCACATCTAGGCTTGCCCCAGTATGCCGTAATCGTGCTTGAATTGCATGGACCTGCTTTTTGCACCAATCCTGAGTTTACATGTATGGGTGCGCAACGCAATTTCTGGGGCCCATTGTGTTAAGTTACTCATCCAGGGTTCTCGGTGTACTTCGATTTTGCCCGCACCCCGCTTAGAGCGTGTGGGAGTGTAGTCTTGTTGGCAGATCTCCCCCTATCGTCTTGACATGAGGACATCCGGCTTGCAGTGCCCCATGGCCTTGATACCAGGTTTGAGCCTCAGAGATGTAGGAGACCTGGCAGTGCAACATATGGTGTTCTGGATAGCAACCAACACGTGCAATACGAACGTCCTGCCGGAGCTTGAGCTGGAACTATGCTGCTACCTCATTTGCCTCCTGCCTGGCTACTGTATGAAGGGTTTGAGACCCTCGCAACTTGTCCTTGCGTGTCATTGAAGGCATCACTGATCCTCAGCCTCGGTTGCAACATGGCCACCAACCTTTTCTACCGACGTACTTTTGATGCATGCCCTGGGCTGCACGGGATCGTCCCGGCCAGACTTGGACCTGGAAGCAAAGACAGCTCTGGCCAGCCGAGGCGAACACTCGCTGTTCTCGTCGCTGGTTATTTCGAAGACCTGGGTGCATCGGCCAAGGTCGGGAGGGCCAACCCCCATAGCGCAAAGAGCAGTGGTCCGCGTGCGGGCGCCTTTTTGCCAGTGACGCGAGCTGGAGTGCAAATCATCATGCCAGACAAAAGAAATGCAGCACATTCATCAGTTCCCACTGCGGAGTCGGATTGGTAAAGTAGTGTACGAAAGGCTTGTTGGAGCCCTCCTTCTCCAAGCCGTGTGAACCCACTGCTCTCGCAAGATCGTGCGTCTCCTACTCGGTGTTTTTCGAGCACCAGACTTCCCAACAAAGTGCCTTCATGAACTCATATCCAGATCTTCGCCCCGGTGCGCGCGGCGCACCGCGAAATCGCTCGTCGCCATTGTCGGACTGCGGCAGTGCTTCTCCGATGCGTGCTTCGTTATTTCCCGCCCCCTTCGACACTTGGCTGAGATGCGTCTCTGCTGACCGGAGCCTGTGCCAACCGCAGCTACAACAGGACCTCGAACTGGCTTGTGGTGGCTGCTCGCTGCGTGATCTTTGCGGCATGCGAGCTGTCCGGGACGAGCCGGCTCTCATGTGAAGCACGAATGCAGCAGAATCCAAAGCGTCGGGAGAGATCAAAAGCACAGCGGCCAAGCCATGCCAAGCACTGGGCATATGAGCCCGTCTCTGGTGCGACGAACAGGCCGTAGAACCTCAAGGGTCGCAGACTCCGACCTCCACTTCACGCCCATAACTGGGGCCGTGTCATCTGACCATAGTTGTCACCGTAGTTCGCGGTGCTGGTCAAGGCCTAGACCAAGCGAGAATGCACAGGAAGCCGAGAAAAAAATGGCAAGCTACTAATGATGATTCATAGGCAGAATTTCTGAAATGGGATGAGCTTCGGGGCAAAGCGAGCACTGAATTGAATTTCGGGCCTCTAGACCTCGCATTTCATCCAATATTTAATTTGTCACTTATTTGTCGTTTGGCCTTCTCGCCGACTGTTGCAATCTATTAACCTTTTTCGGGGGGGCTTTCTCCCCAGCTGGTAATGGTCTGCACGAAGCCTTCCAAGACTCCTGGCAGGCCAAAAGGCACGCACAGTGGTCCCATGTTCTGCCTTCCAAGAGTATCCGAAATGGCAAGGGAGGTGGGGAATGACAAACATGACAAGAGGTTCGGGGACCAACAAAAACGACAACAACATGACAAATAAATGACAAAAGCTGGCCGTGCTCGTTGTCCCCAGGAAATGTGCCAATTTCGGCGCCTGCCCCTACAGCGCACTCTGGCCTGCAACGCAGAACTGCACAACAAAGACACTGACAAGCCAAGGCCAGCTAGGAATGCCAAAACACGACAGCACGACTACAAGGCCAATGCATGACGGTAACATGAGAAACGAAGTAGATTGATGAAGACCGGCATCTTTCCCAGACATGATTGACGGGACAGTCCAACAGCTGTCAGAATCGCCAGCCCCAATCACAAGTTTGTAGACATCACGAAGCCGGATGCCAGCAATTGAGCCTGAGACAAGGATGAAGAAGCTTTGTGTCCGTGCTTCAAAATAAGACGAACACTTTGACACCTCGATTACGACTCCGACATGCCCGATCCGATCTGTGGAATAGTCAATGCTGCATGCATGACAGAGCATGTAGTGCGCTAAATCGCATTCCTCTTTCGCTGTGCCACCTGCCATCTGCAACATGCCCTCGCAACTTACTGCCATGTCGTAACATGTGATACGGCCTGGAGTGAGGCATGATTGTGCCAGGAGTCCATACTTTGGACCCATGTTTTCAACAACCACGGGAAAAACAAGTTGCAGCACTCGACTTTCGCGATGGCTACCACTGTGCGCCAGCAAACAGCCAAGTCTCCAAGGCAGCGGCACTTGCAAATTCTTCCAAGTCCGGCGAATCTGGGAAAGCCTGGTGCATTCAAGTTACTGATTCAACACCGACCGTCTGATCGCTTTAAGAGCTGAGCTTGGCACAGCTGCTGCCAGGAGATCAGCCAGAGTCTTTCCAGGAAGGTTGTGCCAAACCTGGCTGACAGAATTTACCCAACATCAGCCTCAGGAGTGCGGTTCGCGCTGGCGAGCCTTTCTCACCAAACCAAGCGGCTGGGCACCGTTGCACAACCAGGCAGTGCCTGGTATCGATGTACTCTTTCTCACTGAACCATCGAAACTCGAAACACAGCAAGCTAAGCAATCTGTGCCACGGTGCCGTTGCTGCAAGAATTGTCCTCTGAGCAAGGGTAGCCTGCACACATTGCTCTGCCCTCTCCACAAGCCGAACAGAGACCGTAAACGAAGACGAAGCCTACGCAGGCGGTGCTCGGAGCCTGCCGGGGCTCACAATATTTGAGGCCACCAGAGCGAGCATGCAGTACGGTTCATGACGGGAAAGCTGACAAGACTGGACTGTCCCGCTGTGTTGGCCTCGGACCAGCAGATGGCATACTCACCAAGCCCGGAGACGCTGGAATTTGGAGGGCCTCAACGATGTTCGTGCCTGTTGCACTTCAACCGCCTAGCCTGCACATCCTCATGTTGCATCTCAACTTGCAAGCATGAATCTTCAAGACATCGAGCTGCCCCCATGCAGGCTGAGATTGTGCGGATGCTGGTCTCACCGCCCTCATCCCAAGAAAGTCTGTGCAACGGGCCATGAGGCATGCCCAAGTCGTATGTGTCGAAGAATTGTCCTCCCACCTGTGGTCACTAGCTCTGGTGGCTCTGGTGTGTGCTTGCTGACGCCTATTCCGGTCTTGCTCTGATCTCGCTGCGAAATTCAAAAGGCCAAGATAAAGAACAGACTTCTGATAGCTCAGCATCAAAATTTCGTGGTTCTGAGTTAAGGCCAGGGCATTCCGGGTCTCTATGAACTAAAGATACTAGGACATACCTTGGAAGCCCTCCTGGGTCCGCCCTGAGAGTGGACTCTCAACTTATCGCATTCTGGCCAACCCTGTGGTCAACCGCTAGTTGATTGGCTTCTGTTGTCGTCGACCCTACGTCGGAAATCTTTCGAACGAGTAATCATCAAATTGCCATCCGGACCGTATTCACTCGCACGGTTCGAAAGATCACGTCTGTTTTAGGCAGAAATGCAAGGGCAAGTTTGATCGAACTTCCAATCCGTTTAGAGCTCATCATGCCCCCAAGATCCCGCTCTCAAATCTCGAGTGCAGCACCAGCTGAGGATTCGTCACGCCCGGCCTGGTCTCTCGGCAAGGCACAAATCAGCTGCTGGGCGTGAGCTCGCTCGCTGCTAGCTACCAGCATGTTTAACAGGTTTCGTGAACTGTCTGAGGGCTGCGTGATGTTTGGCGCGGGTTTGGGGGAGGAGGCTAAGGCGGGCTGTGGATTCTTTTGGCATGTTGCGTTTTTGTTTTGCAGCGACATAATTCGTATATTTGAACTGTGTTCGACATGTGCCCTCAGTACGTTGCTGGCAACAAGCAGCAAAGTCATGTGGTTGTCATTGGGGCTGTGAGAGAGCTCAATCTCAAGATTCGATGCCTATTGAAATCTGTTGCAAATGAGTTTGGATCAGAACTATTAAAGGACTATTAAAATAAACCAGCGGAATGTGGCTTCCAGGGTTAATATGCATCAAATGGTTGCATCACACTCCTCTCCTCCTCCTATTGCTACTGCTACTGCTACTGCTACCACCACTACCACTACTACTACTACAACTACTACTACTACTACTACTACTATTACTACTACCACTACTACCACTACTACTACTACTACGACGACTACTACTACTGCCGCTACCACTACCACTACCCTACTGCCACCACTATCACTACTACTACTACTACTACTACTACTACTACTACTACAACTACTACCAGCACTACTACTACTACTACTACTACTACTACTACCACCCTACTGCCACCACCACCACTACCACTACTGTTATTACTAGTATTACTACGATTAGTACTATTACCACTATTACTACTGCTACTACTACTAGTTCTACTACTACTACTACTACTACTACTACTACTACCACTGCTACTGCTACTGCTACGGCTACTGCTACTAACATCCCCCCTTAGACAGCGAAGCCCAGCATTAAACTGTGTCAATTGGCAAAACCCGAGTATGTGCACGGCTTGAGGTGGCCAGCGACCTCTAGAAGGGGCCTACAACTGTTGTGGCTGGGTTCGCATTATTGAGGGTCGGCGAAGACGCATCGGGGGTGTTACTCGATACAACTTCGGTAAGCAAGATCTTTGGAAGCCACGGTTCTTCTTTTTGCCTCGTACCTTCAAGTTGACCCAGTACATCGTCTTGTTGTCGTACATCCTCGTCCTGTCCAGGTAAGATAGATAGGCTTGGGGTCGGTGGGGTGACTGGGGACAGCATCGAGTAACTGCTGGCAATGGCCACCAGTCGTCCTGATGTAGGCCGGGAACTTCGCACAATGAAGCTTCACTCCACTTCTGCGTTCCCTCGGATGCTACTTTGCTCACTGCTTCACACATTAGGGGTTTGGGGTTTAGGGGTTTCGGGGTTTAGGGTTTAGGGTTTTAGGTTTTAGGAATTTGGGGTTTAGGGTTTAGGCTTTTGGGGTTTAGGGCTTAGGGTTTAGGGTTTAGGGTTTAGGGTTTAGGGTTTAGGGTTTAGGGTTTAGGGTTTAGGGTTTAGGGTTTAGTGTTGCGCGAAGATGCTCTGACCAGCCCATTTCCTCCATGT